GTGTCCCTCTCGACGTCCGACAATTAATCCGTTTTCCGAGAACGGGAACATTCGGGACACACTCTCTGTCAGCGCGCTGTTCCGCCGCCGCGCCGTGCAACCTCGGATTCCGTGGAATGTATTTCGAAAAAGCTAGCACATACGTGTTTATCGATCAAACTCATCGGTAATACGAACAAGAACAGCTGAATGGCACACGTTGATCTATTCCAGAATTCTTTCCCGACTCGAAACAACGGACGCTTCTCGAAGAAAGTAATAATGAAACTGACTTCCGTAAACCGAATCGTAAACCGATTGAAATCTGAGTAACTACACACTTATTTAGTTATCGAAAAGTTGGAGATGTCAATCTGCAAGGTAGTTCTACTAACCTTTAGTGTCTAAGAAGCTCCCCGCTAGATTCACCTGGATCCAAAATTAGATTCAACTAATTAAACTTGACTTCACGTGACACAAAACATAAAACACTGGAATAATATACTTATACCACGCCAAAAAACCGTTCGAAAGGGTTACCTATTAAGACAAATTCCCGAGATCACTAGGACGTTCGAAAAAACCGGCGATTTCTTTCTCATATTCCTAGAAACCCTTTTTCCCCGTCTCCCGGTGAACCCGAAAGAACCGCTCGTGAACGATCCAGAGAAAAATGAGCTCCACAAGGCAAGAAAATCCCCGATGCGCCGAAGAAACCAATCGATCATTACCGGTACAAATGAACCCGGATTCCTCGCGATTGCAGCGAGAGCCGCTCGCAGTTTTATCGCGAGATTAGAGCACGCCCTGCTCCCTGGACTGTGCAAACACGGCAAAAACCGTCGGCCCGATATCGCGCCGTGAAATTCGCCGGGGATCGGCGAGGATCTAGCCCGAGGGATCGCCGGCGGCAGCGCGCGCGCAACGTCGAAAATCTCGATCCGAGATCGAGGAAAGAACGCGACCGCAAGCCCAACGGACCGTTCACAGATCGGCTCGCGCGCGAAAGAAAGTACGCGTATTATTTATTTCGCGGGTT